AGCACACTAAGGATTTGGAGCTTCCTGGTGAGTCTGTGTGGATCTAGGGTTGACAACCAACTGACAATCAAGAGGCTGACATCCTGGCTGTGCGCAGCAGGATGAGGCAGCTCGGACGCCCGGAGGCTTCCAGAACTGTCTAGCACCTCACCTGGGCCAGCACTCCCATCCCAGCCACCTGCTTCCTGCCCAGCGGGTCACAGTTCATGAACTGGCTCCAGCCCAAGCTCTGCTTCCTGTTTTCTACTCGCCGATTCCAAGCCAAGAGTTACTCCTTTCATACCCTATAGGCTCCTCTTTTTACATTTCTGTTTTTGTGTGGGGGCCACACCTGGCTGTGCTCAGAGCTCACTCCTTACTCTAGGCAGTACCTGGGGGCCCATATGTGGTGCTCAGAATGAACGCAGGGTGAATGCATGCAAGGCAAGAGCCTTACTCCGTGCGTTCTCTCTGGGCCCCAGCTCCTCTGTTTAAAGCACTCTAAGAAGCCTGGGGAGAGAGGGTCCCTCGCACCATCTGCTCAAGGCGTAAATCATGGCTAATGCAAGCAACGACCTCTAGGTTTAGGTACATAAAACTCTACGGAACATGGGAGGGTGGAGGGGGGTGGGGGAGAGGGAAATCATGGGAGGCTTCCTGAAGGAGATGACCTTTCATTGGAAGTGAAGGACCAAACAAGGCAAGCCACAGCATCAAAAGTTTGGCAAATGGCAGTTTTTTTGGAACGTCTGGACAGAGTATGTGTCAGCTCAGCTGGGGTCTGGCTGCAGGGCCGGAGGGGAATGGCGGGCAGAAAGATACTGAACGAAGACATTTGTGCTTTTTCCTGGTTGCAATGAGCAGCCCTTGACGCAAAGGAATCGGGTGACAGGATTTTGCCTTTTAGAAAGATCACTCTGGCCTTTAAGAGCCCAGCAGAGTCAACAGTCTCATTGACACTTTGTGAATCTCACTCGTGCAAAGAGGAAGGGAGAGGAAGTCACTGTGTGCTCTCAGAAGCCCCAGACAGGCTCCGGATCAGACACACCTGGAGGAAACTCTGAGCCCATCCCAAAAAGAACCGCCAAAAATATTTCAGCACAGAATGCTTCCTAGCTAGTTCTGTCAGGTTCTGTTGAGACTAGCAGACTTCGAAGAGTTTCGTGAATTAGCCAGGTTCAGCCCCACCCCAACCTCAGTCTTCTTGTTGGGTGTGAATACTCCATACGTGCTCCATACACTCCACACAGATAGGCAGGCAGCCAGAGACCGCCAGGCTGCTTCCCTCAGGGGCCTGCTCCACTCCCTACTGGCACAGCCAATAAATATATCCATATGAGGAAGGAAAGCAAGTTCTTTTTCCTTTTTATCCCCATCTTTATTGAGGCAACATGATTTAAAATACAAATAATAACTTCATGCATACACCATTCCCACACCATACTCACAATCAAAGTGCCTCTGGACCCCACCAATGTCCAAAAGACACCTCCCATCTACCTCCTCCCAGCTAAGCACAGTTCTGTTGCCTTTGGCCATTTGTTGCTCCCTTACTATGAATCTTGATACCTGGTGTAGGAGAGATCATTCTTTATCTGTCCATCTCCTTCTGACTGGCTTCACTCAACACTATACCCTCCAGTTCCATCCATGCAGTGGCCACTGTATGATGTCGCCCTTTCTTACAGCTGTATACTACTCCATTGTGTAAATATCCGACAACTTCTTGATCCATTCATACATAGTTGGACTCTGCAATCTTATATCAACTGCTATAATGAACAGAGGTGTGCACATGTCCTTTGGCATAAATGTTTTTGTGTATGGGGAGTAGATGTGGAATCGCTGGGTCATATTTTATTTACTTTTTTGGAGAAATCTCCATAATGGGAAAGTAAGTTTCTTGAAAGTCCCCACAATTCACTCCTGTCCATCCCACATGGGACTATGCAAATAGGGTGAACCGAAGCTCCAAGGTCTCCAAAGTCTCCACGGCGCCCACAACTGACACTGCTGGCTACAGGGGCTCATCCCTGAAGCCACAGCCAGCTCCACGGTGTGGCCTATCAGCAACTCAGCCTGAAGGGCCCTGGTAGGCTCCAGGTTTGGGTGAGGGGTACAGGGGACTATTGGCACACCCCTCCCAGGTGGCTGTTGCAGCCAGCATCCAGATATTGTGGTCCCCAAGGCCCTGCATCCCTCCCTCAGGGCCCATAGGCCCCTGTCTCTGGGAACAGGAAGGGGAAATTTCCAGACCCACTCAGGGGTAGCCAAGGCAGAGACAGTGCTGAGTCAACCAGACAGAGAAGGGCTGGAGGACAGGGGTACACTGGAGAGGGAGGGATGCCTGGGAGCCCTTCTCGTTTTCAACGCAGGAAGTTTTTGTCAAATAGAAATTTCACCCAGAGCAGGCTAGGGGACCGGCCTATCCCTGTGGCCTTGGCAGGTTCTGCTATTGTTGTTTTTTTTTCCCTAATGTCACAAAGGGGCCGCAGCACCAACACCCATACTAGCCCTGAGACCCCGCCTCCGAGCTGAGCAGCCACACCAAAAATATTTGGCTGCACCAAGCAACACATGCCTTCCCCAAAGTACACAATCGGGCCACACCGGTGACCTTTCGTCTCAAAGGTCCATTCACTGAAATCAAAAATTCCTGTCAAAATGAGGGCGCGATGCCGACCTTTCTCCAAATGTGGCCCCCTCCCCATTCTGCACAGTCATTCTGGTGGGGGAGCTCCCCCAGCCAATTTCTCTTCCTGCCATTGCCATAGATAAGACTATTTTTAGAGCACAACTGGTTGGAAGGCAGATTTTTTTTTTAAATTGCTCAACTCCTGTTGGTTGGCATGCACAAATATCTCTGGAAGCTTTGTTTATCAGCTGGCAGAAATGACCCTCCCACCTTTTTTTCTTCCCCCTTGAGAGATGGTTCCAGATAAGAAGGAAGTGCTCCTGTAAGCGGCAGGCACCAGGCAAGGATCACTGGGGACGGCTAGACAGCCGCATGCCCTTGCCGGCTGACTCTGAGCTCCTGCTCAGTGTCACTGGTCACTGTCACCACATCTGGCCAGCCGGGTCCCCGTAGCCCCTCATTTGGTAAGTCCTTGGGAGGAAGCAGGAATGCTATTGTAATAATGAGCATGCTATTGCTTGATGTTATTGCTTGCCCAACCTCAGCGAGAATAACGCAACTTTATTTAAAAACTTTTCACTTCAAGAACTCTTCTCATGATTACTTGATATACAATTTCATTTCCAAGGCTATTCTTCCTGCTATTCTTAAGTAAATAAATAAAGATGTTTTGCAGACCCAGCATGCCATTGTTGAATAGCAGGTGCCAAGGGTTGCACTTAGATGAATGATTTCCTCCTTTCTGTATGTGTATGTCACCTGCCTTACAAATTCCCCTTCATTCTGGAAGACTCAACTCACATGTCTCCTGCAGAGGGAGGCCTTCCTCAGGCACTCTGGGAAAAATCTCTCGAAATCAGCTTCCACCCAACTTTGTCAACATTCTACCTATCCCCATAATAACTGTTACTTTGGATGAGGAAGGTTGGTCTGTGGCAACTGCCTCCATCAGTGACATGATGCTCAATGCTCAGCCCTGAATCACTGAGATGGAGAACTATAAACCTAATCAAGTAAATCGATAAATCGACCAACAGATAACAGCTTTCTGCCAGGCCTTGCCCCTCATACTCAGAGATAATACCTGTGACATTTGTGAATCGGAAGCAGACGTAGGTATCATAAGAGAAGACCTCAGTGTCTCCTTTGGTCTAGACCTTCAGGTCTATTCTTTTATCACTCTGCTCAGAATAAATAACCCTATACGATCCAGCAAGTCTTCCCATCCTCCCTGTCATCTTGTTCAAAAGGCAACAGCTTCCACTAGACTGTCCGCTGTGCTACACTGCAAAGCATTTTATAAAACTCAGAAAAATTTGAGAAAAATCTTCAGAGATATTAGCTAAAGTACTAATACAAATACTATGTTAGCTATAGTACTAATATATATACCTTGTCTATATACATTGACAATATACCTTGTCTATACTGCACACGATACACTATAACTAGCGTACTGGCTTATCTAGCATACTAGTCCCATTTGCATTCACCCACATAGAACTCTAGCTGCCCAGCCAGTCCCATCTCTGGGACTTTCATGGGAAGTCAAGGCAGTCTCCTCCTGCAGGGACCCAGTGTGACTTAAGGCTAAATTTTCTTCTTTCCTGATTGCACTTGTATTCCGATAAAGAAAGATTTCATAGATGAAAGGCAAAAACTCATATGTGAGGAGGGCTGGGGAAGTTGTTGGAAAACCTCTTAGATCTACTGGGGATCTTGTTTTCTGAATCTAATGATTGGAGACACCAAAGTTCTGCCAACCCTAACTGGCAGTGTGGTCGACTCACGTACACGAAGAACACCACATCTTTTGTCAGGGCTAAAGAAAGATAACAGAAAGGTGTCCACGAGGAACGGGGGAATATAAGAGCAAATAAAGGTGACTGCAGAAAGCAGACCTCCTGCGAAGCTCGGTCTTAAAAGAACTTGCTTCGAGAACTGCAGAGATGGGATAATGCCTACCACAGCCCCGCTGCGGGGACGAAGAAAGGACTGGCATGCCCCAGAACAGGCGCACCGCGAACTCGGAGAGGTGCGCGCCCGGTCCCAGGTGAGAGCGTGCCCGCGCCGGGTCCCCAGGTGAGAGCTGCCCGCGCCGGCCCCCAGGTGAGAGCTGACCGCGCCGGGCTTCGGGGATCGCCGCCTCCCTCCTAGCCCGAGGGGAGCCCCCCCCCACCCCGGGTAGAGCCCCTCAGCAATCAGCGTCTCCGCCGTCGCCTGGGGAAGGAAGAGCTGCGGAGTAAAGGCGTGCACTCTTCAGTCCAGACAGAAGGGGCAGCGGCCTGAGGCGTGGCTGGGGTCCGGCCGAAAGCTGACCCCCCCAGTTGGCGTCCGTGCCTCCCCGAGTCCCGCAGACGGGAAGCGGCACCGCACGGCTACTCACCCTCCGGCCGGGCGTCCCTGGCGCCTTGGCGCCGCCGCCAGAGAGCAGGGTGACGGTGGACGTGGAGCGCAGCATCCCGCGGGCCTCCAGCTGCGGCTCAGCCCCGCGCGCCGGCCGGGGAATAGGCGCCCGGGCCCGCCCGGCGGGGGGCGGGGTCACAGAGGGGCGGGGCCCGAGTCCGAGTCCCGGGACAGCGGAGGGGCGGGGCGGGGCGTCGTGGGCGGGGTCACAGAGGGGCGGGGCCCGAGTCCGAGTCCCGGACAGCGTCGGGGCGGAGCGGGGCGGGGATCCAGGGGGTGGGATCAAAGGGAGGCGGGGCCTGAGGCTGAGACCCGGATAGCGTCGGGGCGGGGCGGGGCGCCGGAGGGGCGGGGTCAGAACGGGGACGGGGCGGGGCGGGATCATTCAGGGGCGGAGTCGGAGCGGGAGGGGGCGGGGCTGGAAGGGCTCCGGGGGCGGGGCGGGGCGGGGCGGGCCGGAGTTCTCCCGCCTGACCCGTCAGGCTGCATTTTCTCTGTCCGAGGGACCGAGGATGGACGCTGCCAGGGTGAGAGCGACCCTTTCCCACTGGGCTGAGCCCTTTCAGGCTCACACCCCAGGCGGGAAGGAGCTCTGCCCCCTGCCCGGACACCCCGGTTTCCTCTGCCCCCGCGATAGTAAGGGCCACCTGTCCTGTGCCATGGCCCATGCAAGCGCGGCACTCCTCACCGGCTGTCACTTCCTAGGGTGGGTGCCAACCCTGTGTCCTTCCAAGCAGCCCGCACTGCTGTTCTCGGGAAGTCTAGTGCGGACTGGGAAATGGACAGGTGCGGTTCAGAGGGAGGAGGCGCAACTTTCCTATCAGGGAGCGTTCCCCTCACCCTAACCCTTACCGCCTCAGCCTCGGAGCTGGCCTGGGTAGAAAATGACTACCCTGATGACTGGACCCTGACGCACAGGTAGGAACAAACCTGATGGAGTTCATCACCAATGACTGCCAGGCGCCAGGCAGGCCACAACTTCATCCAGTCACTGCACAGGGCCACCTTGGAGTCAGGCGCTAGGAACCTCCTAAAGCCCCATTTTGCAGATGAGAATGCTGACTCTCCTGGAGAGTGAGCACAGGGACCTGATGGGCTGCTAGGTGGCGAAGTTAAACTTGACCCTCTGCTGACTGACCTAGTGTATCACTTACCCACACACTTCCCACCAGCGGAAGATGAGATCTCGAACCCCAGAAACCCACTTGTGCAAATATGGGAGGAAGTCAAGAGACTCGAAGTGCCTAAAGGCATTGAAAATCCTGTGGGATAAGAAGCAGGTGGCAGGAACACAGCCAAGGGGCACTGAGCCAGGTGCTGTGGAATCTGCTGTGCTCAGTTACCAACTAGGATGAAGTATCCTAGGGATAAGTGGATGTTAGCAGAGAAATTCTGGCTTCTCTGTTCCCTCCAAGCCTGCAGCAGAAGGCCTCCCCACTCAGCCTCCAGAGCCTCCTCCTTCACCCAAGCCATCACTGGAGCCTGGGTCTGTCCCCTTCTCTTGTCATGAGCTCAAGGTCATACGTGAGGGCTCATCCTCTTCTGGATGCCAGTGTGGCACCATCACAGAGGAAGCTTGAGAAGTGCTTCTGAGCAGGTCCCCTGAGGGTGCTGCCTTTGCAGAAGGGGCATCTCAGTCACCTCAATCCCACATCTGCTCCCTGCCCTTGTCCTCGCTGCAGCTGTGCCTGCACCTATGTGTGCATGTTCTCACCACATGTCCAGCAAGGTGGACACTGCCATCATCCCTACATTCCAGGCATACTAAACTTATCTAACTAGTCTTCTAACTCTGCATTTCTTGGGTTCATTTTTGGCTTTGATATCTTGGGGGGGTTGGGTTGTTCCCAGTCTGGTCCAGTGTTTAAGGGTCCCTATCAACAGTGCTCAGAGAACCATGCAGTGTCATGGATGGAACCCAGGGCTCCCACATGCCAAACTCAACCCTTTGTACCATCTTCCCAACCTCTGTCAACTATATCCCGCCATCCACTCACTCTCCCAACTTGAAGTCATTCACAAGCAGTCACTTTCCATCCTACTTCCACAAAATCCTATGTTGGTGGGGTGTGAGGCCAAAAGTTGGGGCTAATTCAAAAAAACAAAAGTGGTCAAAATTTGACTGCCAAATAGCAGCAAGAGTTAGAGATAGCTGCAAGGTTTCCACCGAAGAGGAAGTTAATGATTACTATTGTTTTATTATGCTGCAATGAAGAGGAAGGAAATGGACCACACTTCAGACAGATTCAAAACAACCCGGCATCTTCACTGTTTGTTTATGTGAGTGCCAGTGCCCAAGTGATCGCCCAAAACAGAGTCACCATTCGAGAGGAGTCCACAGACTCCACTCTTCTCCTTTACCACAGTCTTATTCACATTGTTCACTTGGTAGTCAGTCAGCCTGCAATTTTATGGCTCATTGCAGGGACAACACTCTGTGCCCTTGGTGAGGAGAGGGTGAGGAGAGGAACTTGTTTACTTCTCTGCCCACCCCTTGTCCTCCTACAGTAATTGATGTGTTGTGAAGAGCCCAACAAAGGTCAAATTAATAAATATTAGAGAGTAGTTGGCATCTTGCAATTGTACAGTAAATGGACCGAATTTAGAAATAATACTATGCGTGTTGAGTGACGTCAGCCCGAGGGAAAGGAACACACTCAGAATGATCTCTTTCAAATGCAGGATATAAAGAAAGCTCAAAGAGGAATATCAACTGCAATAGAATGGCAGTTGAATTGAAATGGCAATAGACATGAAGAATAGGAAAACTGGTCTTTAGTAGGAAAGTTGGCACTGGGGAGGAGTAGGGGGATAAGTTTGAGAAGGGAACAGTAGGTCAATGCAGGAGGGAGAAAGTGCCTGCCACAGAGGCAGGTTGGTGGAGGCAGGGGGAAACATGGGAGGGAAACTGAGGATATTGGTGGAGAGTAATGGACACTGGTGAAGAGATTGATGTTGAAACAATATATGCCTGAAACTCAATCATAAATATCTCTGTAACTTTGTAATTCACAATGATTCAATTAAAAATTATCAATTTAATTAAATGATTTTTAAAAAGAAATAATACTATGGAGTACTTTAATTTTTCATTCCTTTTTTAATAGCTGCCAGCCCCAGCAGTGTTTGGAGTGGCAGGGCCCACTCTCAGTGATGCTTCCCAGTGGAGGTGAGGGCCTGACTGTCCAGTGCTCGGCCAGCAGGCGCTACTTCGACCCAGAGGTGCTCAGGGGCATCTGGTACTGTTTATGGAGGTATGTGCTATTGGGGATCAAAGCAGGGACCTCCCATATGCCAGGCATGTGTCCCATCACTTAAACTGTCTCCCCAGGCCCTCAGAGCTATTTTAATTACTCATAATGCCACAAGACATACGCTAAAATATTTGTCAATCCAGGATAGACAAAATAGGGCTTCAAAGATTTTTTCCAGTTGAAACAATCAGAGCCGCAAGGGAACTCCTGCCAGGGAAGTCCCCACCACTAACTGTCACTAAAGGCTGTGGGTGCTCTGATAGGGCACTTGCCCGGCTCTGGCTCATGCAAACACCCCTTACTGCAGGCCAACACATAAACCAGTTGTGAAAAAAGGGAAAAGTTGTGGGGTGCCACGGGAAAGCGGGAGAGGAGGAAAAGGAAGGAAATTGGAGGCACGAGCAGGACTGAGGCGTCAGTGGAAAGGTGGCTATAGAGTAGGAAGGAAAACGTAAAAAATGAATAAGGTCAGAGAAATAGTATAGTGGGTAGGGAACTTGCCCAAGTCTGAGCATTGTCAGGAGTGATTCCTGAGCACAGAGTAAGGAGTAAGTCCTGTGAACAGGTGTGGGCCCCAAACGAAACAAAATAAATTAAGTCACAGTCACAGATTTCTGTTAGAAAGTTCTGGAAGGAGAAAATGTCTTAAAAGATTGATTCTTTTTAAAATAGGAATCAAAGGTGAAAAATCTTCCTTGGTTTACAGAACTGAAAAAAAAAAAGAATGGTTGACTTTTCCGAGTTAAGGGACAGACAGTGGGTGCTGGCATGAATAATCAGATAGCCCCTCTTCTCCCAGATGGTTCAGGGCCCTCCCTGAGATCTGTTCCTGAGAGTTGTTCCAAAGGTGCCTGTTAGGGCACAGGAAAACTCTAGTTGTAGTATAAATGCTCTTCATGTTCTTGAAAATATCACAAAACACACTCTCCTCCATGTTCTTGAAAATAACACAAAACTCCACACTCTCCTCCCACCCCAGCTTCTAGACTTTTCTCTCATGTCCTCCCAGGTTCTAAACCCAGGATTGTCATGCTGCTCTCTGGCTCTCCCTCTCCGAACTCTGTACTGGCTATGTTCACTCAGACAAGCCCTATACTGGCAATGCTTCCCCTGAGCTCTTGGCAGAAACCGCCCGTGACCAGACGGGGACATGGGCGAGTGTGCCCCTCTCAGCTTCTGGCATCTGTGTCCCTTCTCCCCACGTCTCTGATACTTGCCTTCTCCCACTTTCCATTCAGCCATCACCACGTACCCAAAGTCCTGACATAGTTTCTCCTGAGTACCAGAGGCCAGAATTTCACAGCAGTAACAGGACACATTTCCAGACCAAGATTCAGGATATTGATTTACAAACCCCCTGCTGCAAAGTAGAACAAGGAACACCCCTGTTCATGAGTGGCCTGAGAGGCAGAGAACCCAGAGATAAACACAGCATCTGAAAGGAGCCCAATACACTAGCCAAGTCACCCAGATACATGGGCTTTATAAACTTGTCTAGGAGCGGGGTTATTTAGCAATAACCGAAGCGGTCCATTCGGGTAAGAAAGCTTTTTGGATACAACCTCACTCTCTCCAGTTCACTCTTGAACAAGTGAGCAACTGGCTGTGTGCTAGCAAGCCAATTCAATGACCGAATTTGAGCAAGTTACCCCTGTGTGCCAGGCCTGGGCACATAGAGATGAGTAAGACAGCCCCTGCTTTCTAGGAGTTTACAGTTCTTAGTCATAAACTCATGCAGCATTGACTGTGTTCAAAAGGCGTAAACTGTATCTGCTCATTCAGCCGTCACAGCAACTCAATAGGGAAATCGTGCCCCAGCTGTCTTTCTGTGG